TTTACATTAGCTGTAAGGGAGCTCATGCTCCTGGAGTTGTCCAAAATGATCCCAAGAGAAAGAGATACAAAGTGTCAAAGTATTGCAAAACGTGGCCTTCAATGAAGCCCACCGAATAGTCACTCCTCGTCCGGGTGTGTCCTATTCTGCAGTAGCCAAGAGTTCATTTTGCTTTGTCAATACGCAAACGGACCTTCCACCTTTCAGCAGGTTAAAAATACTACTAAAAAAACAAAATTTAACTTTAAAACACCATCAACATCAAACAGAACAACATCTCCTCCTTCTAAAAAGACTTCCAAAATTGACAACTCAGGACGAACCCTACTTTTCCCCCAGCAGCTTGTATCAACGAAAATACCCCTAAGTAAAAAACCTGACATATCTCGGAAGAAGAGAGATCAATCAGTACGTCAATCAATCCAATTCTGATGCTCTGAAGGAGATGGATGTTGACGTAGAATTGTCCCTTCCGACGATGAATTCATACTTGACTCATCTTAAAATACTTGACGTTAAATTACAATAATATCCATCCACTTCATAATGNTTCTTAAAATAATTAGTTACCTGACTTTATGGACCTATGAATTAAAACTATCAGAGTAATATAAATTTTAAATTTCTAGATAATAAACTTTTTTATCTTCTTGAAATTGTTTTGAAAAGTGCATAGTGATTGTTAAATGAACTTGACCTAATATTAACTTTACTAAGAATTCCATTTGTTTCAAAAATTCTGTCAAGTTGAAATGTTTTTTCTAAAAGTTAGAAATACGAAAATTCTAACGGCTAAATAAAAAATGGAGAAAGCTTGGATGGATGGATCCCTTATTTAACTTAAAAGACTAAACTCGACACTTTAAATCAAATTATGAACCCTTCAAAACCGCCCTCCAAGCTTCGTTTAAAAGCATGGATTAACTAGAAATAGATAGATGTATGAGCGCACAACGACGCAGCAAGTAAGATGGCGGAAAATTCTCGCGGTTGCTTCACCTTGAAAGGAGTGGGCTAATGGGAGTGTCTTCTCCACTTACTCCTAGCTCCATGATTACGTCTTTGTGTAACGTCCTGGTTCTATTTAATAGAATATGGAAGGTACAGACTTATCCATCATGTTGTCGCGAGCAATTGTGAACCCCATATTGAAACCAGGCAATGATTCTAAGGAACCGGAAAGCTATCTCCCTATAGCGTTAACAAGCTGCCTGGGAAAGTCCTTTGAGCGCATGATTAATACCCGCTTAGTATATTTCCTAGAAAAGAACCATCATATACCTGGGTTGCAGAGTAGTTTTCGAAAAGGGGAGGTCTACTGGAGGTCTGGTTATTGCTTTAGAGTCAAGAATTCGTAACGCCTTTGTCCGATGTAACCATTTTGTCTCTATCTTCGTCGATATTGAGAAGGCTTACGATCGGACATGGTGATACGGAATTCTTAAGATGCTCTACGATATGGAACTCAGTAGTAATTTACCCATCTTCCTGAAGAACTTTCTGATGAAATGGTATTTTCGTGTTAAACTGGGTTCTACGTTTTCAGACCTCTTCATTCAAGTCGAAGGTGCTCATTTCGAACGTATTACCACCTCATGTGTTTGGCTCACTTTATGTTGACGATTTAAATGTTTTCCGTTCTGGCTCTAATATGCGCGTTATTGAGCGTCAACTCCAGCTGGCTCTCAATAAGATTTCAAAATGGTGTGAGTAAAATGGCCACACACTTTCACCCACTAAAAGCTCTTGCATACATTTTTGTCAATTACGCAGTTTACACAATGATCCTGTTATTTCTATTCATAACGTTAATATACATACTGTTTCGAAAACAAAATATTTAGGCGTGATTTTTGACAACACACTCACTTTTCTGACCCATATTCTTTATCTTAGAAAACGTTGTGAAAAAACTTTAAATGTGTTACGTGTTCTCTCAATTATAAATAATTCACATAGACATTAACAGTTGACATAAATTTATTAGATACTAGATTAAATAATTAAGAAACAAATTAGCACACAGCCGGCACGCAGCTTGTTTGTAAACACACAGATCTACAAGCAGAGAGGCGTTGCCAAAACACAAAAATACAAAATAGGTAAACGATTACGATTAAAGGTTTTGATTATCATTTTAACACTTCCCCTAAATCAAAACACTACTAATAGCAATATTTGTCTTCTTAAGCACATTGAAAAGCAAAGATTACACAATAAAAACTTAAATAGTATATAGCACTATAAATATTAACATAAATACACAGATACACTTAATTAAGATTATGTATTCCAATTAAATTTCTGAGCTTTAGAAACCTGTCTTTCACTATAGGTTTAGTTAAGATATCAGCAATTTGCATATCACTATTACAATAATTAACATCTAGTTGTTTTGATTCATATTGTTCACGTATGAACTTATATCTGATGTCGATATGTTTGGTTCTGTGATGAAATTCAGGGTTTTTCACTAATCTCATAGCACTTTGGGTTGTTCATTTGTAGGACTGGTATTGTAGAAATACACTGTAATTCTCTTAAAAGATTACCTAACCAAATGGCCACCTTTGCAGCTTGACTAGCTGCAACAAATTCAGCTTCAGTAGTTGAAAGAGCAATGCAGTTTTGTCGTTGGCTCCTCCATGAAACAGCACCACCATTAGATAGGAAAATCATTCCTGAAGTGGATCTTCTCGAAAGAGGATCTCCTGCATAATCAGAGTTAGTATAACACTGAAGAGTAATCTGAGAATCTTTCTTACTTTGGAACAGAATCCCACATTTTTCAGTTCCTTTCAGGTAACGTTTAATTCTTTTGGTCATATTCCAGTGCACCTGCTGAGGCTTGTCTAAGACCTGAGATAACACTCCAATTGCATACGATATATCAGGCCTGGAAACAATTGCTAAGAACATCAAGCTATCAATAGCTTCACGATAAGGCACAACAGCTGGGAGGGGTTCTGATTGATCAGTGGTAATACTACCTTTTTCCATTGGAGTACTTACTGAATTGCACTCATTCATTTCAAACCTATTCAAAATTTTCTTACAGTAAGCTTCCTGGTGTATAAATATACCACCATCATCAAGGCATTCAATTTGCATACCTAGAAAGTAGTTGGCCTTACCAATCACAAAACTAGAATCACTTTTAAGTTTCTATAAGAATTGTTTTACAATACTTTCATCTAGCGATGCAATAATTCCATCATCAACATACACAATGAGATAAATTGATTTCTCATCATTAAAAAACAAACAGGGATCTGAGTTTGATTGTTTCAAACCACAATTCACAGCGAAACTTTTGAAGAATTCATTCCAAACTCTTGAAGCTTGCTTCAATCCATAAATGCTCTTGATCACTTATAACATGTAAATAAATTTTAAAAGCTGTCTCATTTTATAAACTTTTTTTCAATTTTTGTTCCAATCTTTCCTTAGTCCCTATTTCTTAAACAACTTTCTATGCGTTTATCTCTATACTTTTGGTGCAGCCCTTGGTGTTTAGAAGTAGTGTATGACCCATACTATGACGCACTTTTATTTTTAAGACTCGTATACAAAATAACAAACTTTAAAGATGCCAGACCTCTTTTTCATGAGGTTTCATAGGATATTAAAAATTAAAAAAATAACCATAAAAAATTACATATTTGATTCTAATAACTATATTTAATCTTAATAATTGGAAATCATAAAAAAAATCCAATTTTCTTATATAAAAAATCCTTATTGTGAATTTATTGCCATGTCAGGAAATAAAATAGTCATTTCTTTTGTTTCACAAGGTTAACTAAAATGATGATAAAGAAAATAACAGAAATAAATTATTTTATATCTCATCCATAAAAGTATATTCATATTTTCATCAACCATGTCTTCACTACGCTACGATACCTTTATCGTCACTACGATTAATTTCATTAAATTCTCTCTGAAAGTTCTATTTTTTTTTCGAACAAAATATTCTATTTCTACCTCTTCTAAATTTACAAGTATAGAATCACCAAATTTCATATTTACTTTTTCTCAATTATATCAGATTACATATCCTAGGCTTCAATTCCTTCAATTTTTGATTTCAGTGAATTGAATTTTTCCATTCATTTGAAAACGTTTTATTGAATATTTAAAAGCCGAAAGGTACAGTATTGAAATCTTCTGAAATTCGAAAAAAGTCTTTTTTATTCATTTCACTTACTTGAGAAGATCTGCCACTTTACATTTTAAACTGATTTATTTCTACATTTCAATAAACTGTTTCACCTGCAATTATTTTCATTCTTTCATTGAAAATTAGTGTTGTTTCACTTACGTAACTCATTTTACAGTTTTATCATTTACTCTACACGCATAATCTTTTAATGGCTCTAATATCCATATTTGTCTTTTAACTTCCTTGACATACGACCTGTTTGAACTGTATTGCTTCTGTCATCTATATAGAATACTATACCAATTGTATCATAATACTTTACTTTTTCACCCAATTTGTCGAGTATTTCATGCAACTTTCTATTAGCAGAACTAATTGTAAAGATTGATATGCATAAAATTGTATAAAAATTGTTTTTAATGCATTCATCTTCATAGTTATAAAACATTTCTGTGCAAACATGGGTCGTAGAAATGATTTTAAATCTTTAATTTCCCCATCAAGTATTATTTTATAAAAATCTTCTAATTCTATAAAATTTTTATTTTAAACACATTTTCTTTCTGTCCAAAGTTGCCCCATGCTATAAAGAAACAAAACTAACATAAATCTTTAACCTGGTTTTTTTCCCAATGTATCAAATTCTATATACATCTTTAACAGTTTTCTTGTAGTGTTTAGCACAGTGTTTCCCAACCTTTTTTGTACCATGCTCCACCTAAGTCTTTCTAAAATTCTTATGCCCCCCTATGTAACATATACATAATTTTTAATATTAAAAAATCGAATTGTTCACTTAAGAAACTTAGGAAATTGTTAGCGAAACAAAGTAAGTAAATTTTCAGAACATATAATGAAGAACTAAAATTCAAATTCGAAATAATTTTAATAAATATTTTTCTATAATAATTTAATATTTTAATTAAGTGAGATTCTTGCCCTTGATGCTTGCTGCACGTAGATTTTTATCTTAGGTTCCAATTTGGTTAGCCTCAGTCTCAAGTCTCCCCATTGTGTTATATCTAGACGATTTTTTTTACCAATAAAATTATTTACAGCACTAAATCCACATTCAGCTAAATATGAGGAGGGAATCGGTAACAATAGTTTTCTTGCACATTTTAAATCAGAATATCTTTCTTTTAAATCAGCCGATAGAATTTTCAGATGATAGACAGTAACAAGTAAAGGGGTATCATTTACTTCACATTTTTGGAGTCAATTAAACTGTTCTAAGTTTTTGTTGTTAATATATGTCTGACACAACTCAATAAGGGTAATGAAACCAAATATCTTCACTTTTGCATCAACAAGGTTTTATTTGTTCCTTGAAGTTTCTTATTTAATATATTCAGTTTTTCAAAGATATTGACTAAATAACTCACAAATGCTTTACCATCGACTGTAAACAGATACTTCATTCCAGGTTTGTCACTTAAAAAATCCCTCAGTCACATAATACCGCAATTATTGACCGCAATTATTTAAGAATTTGCTCTTTTCTTTCGATTTTGTCACCGAAATCTCGCATTGCATTTAAATGGTCCAGAGCAAAAGGTTTAAACTCATGTCGAGTCCATTTTTGAATTGCCCCCCTTTGCAATTAAATTGGCCCCCGGTGGGGCGTGGGCCCCACGTTGGGAAACACTGGTTTAGCATTTAATTCGTATTATTTGCTAGTTTCAAAGTCTCTATATTCTTTGAGTTTATCATTCATTTCTAATTTTGCTTTTAAAAGCCTAACATAATTTATTTCAATAGCTTATTTGATTTCTTTTCAGAATGCAATACTTATGAAATATTCCAACATTTCAAAATTCCTTTCGATAGCTAATTTCACTTCTTCAGTTTCCTGTGTTTCTACGAAACCTATTTCAATATCGTAATGATATTGAATTTCCTATTTCATATCATATACATTTTTTCCTTTCGATTGTACTACTAAAATGTTTACTGTAAATTGTTTTAGATCGAGATTCACTTAAACTAACTATTAATTTTCCTTCCTTGTATGGTTATACAGGAAGATATAATTTTCTAGACTATAATACTGTAAATTATATTTATACGTGACAAATTTCATTGGGTTTTTATAAGATGACTATGAATAGTCATCAAAATATATAATAACAGTATACGATATAAAGAACATAAATCTATTTATCTTTCTCTTTATTATTCATTTCATATTTCAGTTTTGTAAGTCCATGAAGATTCTTTAGGTTTCAATGGTTCTACAACATCTCTTTTCTTTCTCCGTTTAAATGCATTTATTACTATTTTTATTATTACGAGAAAACCATTTCTTAAATTAGTTTTTGTGTCCTATTGTAGAAATATTTCATGCATGTATTTATTTGAAAATTCATTGTTGATTTTCTACGGCATCTCTTAGAATACTTTAGAATCTTTTAGAATACCTAAGACCTCTAAGGTGTTACAAGTGCAACCGCTTCGGACACATGGCACGAGACTGTATTAAGGAGGAATTCTGCGCAAATTGCGGCGGAGAAGGGCACAAGAGAAATAACTGCAAAAATAAGAGCAAATGCGTAAACTGTGAGGAAGCAAACCGAAGACTCGGTTTAAAGCTCAATGTAAATCACTCAGCAAACCAAAGAACTTGCCCATCGTTCCAAAGAGCAATTGCAGTCCTCAGACATCACATCAAATATTGACCCAATCTTTGTGAGCCGTTTTATGGCGTCCTCCATCCCTTCCTGGGGTGCTAATGCTTGTAATTGATTTTAATTTAATTTAATGTTGTTTGTTTGATCACCGAGTTGGTGGTCCATTTGTTATAATGTGTTTTATAATAAAATTGTTGAGGTTTTTGGAACCTTCCAGTCAGAGGATGCCTCGTTGGGTCGTGGCGTGGCGGTCGTCTCTCGGTGCCACACTTTTAGTGAGTCGTTTGCAGCCGAACATGGCACCACCGCACCCGTCTCGGGCTTGTCCCTTCGGCCTCCTCTGTCCGTCGAACGACAGGGTTGCTTTTGTCGGGCGTGCCTCGGGGCCATGGAACCTTGTGTCCATGCACCGCTGGGTCCACCGGACGATTCGAGGGTTCACCAACGATGGTTATCAGTCTTCCCGGATGCCTCCTTTCGGAGGCGAGTCGGGGTCAAGCTTCGCTTCTACGGCATCTCTTACTTTCAGCCAGTGACATCTATGAAGTTGATAGATGGTGTTTTCATAAAAACCATCTATTTTCTAATATATTTCACTTAACTTTTTTTCCCCGAAACTAATAAATTGAATTGAATTGTATGTAGGGTTGAATGGCACAAACTCCACAAAAGGGCTTGCTGTGCCAAACGAACGGTTTTAAAATAAATCTTAAAGTAAAATGCTTACTACAAATTTTTCTGACTAAAATCACATGGAGTTTATAAAACTAAACAAGACGAAACTTACTGTTCAAAAGAGAATAAAATCAGATAAAATGAAAATATAGTAAAACATCATAAGCCAGTTGCATTCGAAACAAATCAAAGCATGTTGTATACTTATATCGTATAGTTTCGATAAATAACCTAACCAAGCACCCGATATTTTTGAAAAATATCTTCAATAGCAATTGTTACATATTTGAGACTGTTAATGGCCATAAATATACTTGTAGAACAAAAACACATAAAGAAAATAAAAATAATCTCAATCCCTCTTTTCTTTCAACATATACTTTTGATCAGTAACATTTAACAGTTTTTTATGAAAGTAAAATGTACTACAGTTTCATAACCTTTTCTGAATCGAAGTGGATGTAGGGCCACAAGGTCCAAAAGAGGCTCATAACCTTTGTTAAATTTTTCTTAATGTGAAATTTAGTTGAATCTACACATCTTTTATAATTACCAATTACTTCCATAAACATTAACACTAGGTTTACAGGACGCGTCATTTTGACGGATTTCGAGTTTTGTAAGGAAAATTACAAAACACATTTGAATTTTTTTTTTAATCTCTTGCAATGACTTTTATCCAATGATCGAGGTAAGTATATATTGAAGTCTATTTTCTTCAAAAGCGTTGAAATATTGAAACTCTCTTTGGGGTATACCTATCTCTACGGATATGAGCCAATTTCACACGATCGTAATTTAGACAAAATTGTGAGTAACATGCAAACATCACATTAATAATAAATAGGAATGTACCCACAATACTCCGATCCGTTATCCGATATCGTTATCTCAAATGAAACAAGCGAAAAACAACTGTTGCCGATAAGCAATAATAGAAAGAAGAAACGCAGAATGTCAATTGATGTCAGAGTGTCAGATTTTGAAGGTTTCATTTGCTTAGTTCGAGTATTGAAAAATAAAATACTAGAATATTTCATAAATATATATCTCATATTTTTCTTATAATATATAATTGCACTGCTTTCTAACAGCAGAGATGCCAACTGCTCCGGACACGCCAAAATAATTAAAGAAAACGGTAGATAACTACTAAGTAAATTTCGCAAATATAAAGTGGCGAATTATATAAGCCTACAAATTATTTAGAAATAGTGGTGGATAAAAATCTACTAAATTGAATTTATTAAATATGTATTCGTATATACATATGTATTCGTTCATGCGTCAAATTGACGCGTTTTCTTAGAGATAGGTATATAAGAAACGTCCGTAAACCTAGTGTTAATTTGTTTCCTTGATAAACAGTAAACACACATTTAACGAGAAATAAAATATTTTTAATTGGTGATGGCATTCACAAAAATTTTATGTTTTATTTTTCGAATAAAGGTTTTTACTCAATGATTTAGTTCGTTTTTTACCCTTTGACATTACTTTTATCATGTGTGAAGAGCGATATAGCCTAATATGACTCTTGCACTAAGTGACAAAAAGCCTTACCGTAATAAGTGAAGCCCCTATAAACATTATTTTTGTTATTCTCTAGCTACTCCACAGATTCTCAACCTTTTTAATGCCTCCCTTTAGTAGCAGAAAAAAAAAATTTCAACGTTTGTGAAAGTTACTTAGACTATGGAGACGGAGTAGGTGCAGTGAATTATAAGAGGTAACATTTTAAAAAATTTTCTTACTCCTTAAATTCATTTTTGTTTTTTAAAATTACTGTGCATGTTAACTGCCCATACAGCAAATCTTGTCCTAAACACAACCCAAAACATTCCGAACACTCCTGGAACAGTTATATCCGCAGAGTGTCAGAAGAAAAGAATTTCGCAGGAAATCACAAATAAGACAGCAATAGGACAAGCCTTGCAGAGGAGTGTTTTAGGAATCATGTAGGATCATCGTTCAGCGCATGCGTGTTAACTTGAACTTTACCGTTAGTGTTATTTCGCTTACCCAGTAAAAAAAAAATTCTGCAACTGCTAGTGAAATCTTAATAAGGTATTTATAAGCTCAAATATCTTTATTAGTTTCTTTTTTGTTTATCTTTCCTTTTTTGTAATCTATTGATTTCTAAGTGTGCTTGAATCCCATGATTATCTTTAATATCTCAATTGCAATTTAAATGGTTACATGCGTGGTTATTTAATTTTTTCATAATAATTGTGGAAGCTTTATTTTTATTATAGCGTGAGGCAAATTTAATCTGTTCTGATAATTCATTCTTTCTATTGATTTCGTTTTCTTTCTTTACTTTCAACTTGTTATTTGGCGCGTTTTTTTGGTAACCCTAAATAAATCATTTCTTCTAATTACAGATAAAATGACATTTTAAATTTATTTCAATGTTGCTATTCGTCTTCAATATTTAGTATATTGTTATTTTACTTTTTTCTACATAATTGTTTCTTTAAATTAAGTGTATTGGGATTTTTAAAATTAGAGATACGTAGCCAATTTGGTAACCAGGCAAAAGGGTTGCTGTTTTTTTTTGTCCTAGATTGAGTAAGTTCGATACGATTCAATCCTATCCATCCATCTGTTTATAAATTTCTACGTGGTTTCTGCAGTTAATGTTTTTTTAAAATTAATATGGCTCCAATAAAGATAAATAAATATTCTAGGCAACATTTAAATCGAAAGATTAAAGAAAGTGTAGATTGCGAAATAAGATTGCTTCAAGAAGCTTCTGGTGATTTGTATTCTGTAAATCAAAATCCATCTGTAAGTTCTGGAAAGCTTGAACTACAAAAATTTGAAAGTTCGGACTGTGATATAATAGCTTCTGATGATGAAATAAATGAAGATTCTGGCTCCAAAACTGATTCTGAAAGTTCTGACTACATTGAGAAAAACACCATTTGTGCCAATGCAAGGAATGAGACTTTTAGTGGAGAGTTTAAAGAGATAATACTTCGCCACCGTCTAGAGAATAATGCTATCACTGATTTGTTGAAGCTATTCAATCGTCATAATGTGGATAAGCTCCCTAGAGATACTCGGACATTTCTAAAAACGCCACGTAGTACCAAGATTAAAAGTATAAATGGTGGAGACTATACACATCTTTGTGTTGAAAATGGTTTATCCTATATATTTGCAAAAAAATTAGATGTTAGCAAAATTTGCAGAATCAATTTATTTGCAAATGTAGATGGATTACCCATTTCCAAAAGTGGATCTAGTCAGATTTGGCCCATTCTCATTAAAGTATGTTTTGAAATTTTTTCTGATATTTTTACAGCTGGGATATTTTATGGCAAACAAAAGCCAAATGAGTTCATCAAACCATTCGTTGATGAAATAAAAAAATTTTGTAAAGATGGTTTGAATAGCCAAGGCAAATCAATAAATATTGCTTTAGAGGGTCTCATTTGTGACACTCCAGCCCGAGCCTTTATTATGAATACGAAAGGTCGTAATGGGTATTCTTGTTGCCCAAATGTATGATCGAAGGGGAGGTTATTAATGGAAGAGTTGCTTTTCTGGGAGAAAATTGGCCTCTTAGAACGAATGAATCATTTCGAGCTTATCTGGATGATGAATTTCATAATTCATACACTTATTTTGATCATCTTGACCACTTTAATTTAGTTACCCAGGTACCTTTTGATTATATGCACATGGTATGCCTTGGTGTAGTTCGAAAGCTTCTTAACTTTTGGTTAAAAGGAGATTTATCTTGCCGTTTTTACCTTCAAGGAAGGTAAATGAAATTTCATCTGCTCTCGAAAGCTTAAGAGCTCAACTACCAGCTGAATTTCCTCGTAAGCCGAGATCATTGAAGGAAATAGATCGGTGGAAGGCAACAGAGTTTCGGCAATTTATTTTATATACAGGCCCGGTCAATTTGCATGGTATCCTAATGTTTATTTAAATTTTATGTCGTTACATACTGCAGTTTTGATTTTGTGCCATAATTCTCTAAGTTCCATGCTGAATTCTTATGCAGAATCTTTATTGAAATCATTTATCGAAACATTCATTAAAATATATGGCGAAGAATTTGTGTCATTTAATGTTCATGGATTGATCCATTTGCCTTCAGACGTTAAAAGATTTGGATGCTTGGACAAGTTCAGTGCCTTTCCTTTTGAAAGTTATCTCCACAAATTGAAAAAAACTTTTTAGACCATTGCAACAGTTACATAGAAGAATAGCAGAGCTCACTTTGAGTAGTGTAGAAATTTCTTCTGCAACTTATTTTAAATTAATTAAAGAACGAAAAGAAGGGATTACTACTAACATTTGCCGTGGACCGCATTATTCAGAGATAATCCTGAAAGGTTCAAAACTGCAAAATAAAAGGCCAAACAATTGTTGTATGCTAAATGACGGTTTCATCGTGCTTATCGAAAATTTCAGCTTTTCTCGTGATAAGAATCTTTATGTTGTTGGGCGTCAGTACGATTCCAAAAGAGACTTTTATACAATTCCATGTAATTCTTCTCTTTTGAACATTTTTTTTTGGTTGATTCGTTATCGTGCATAAAATCTTGGCACATTAATGAAATTAAAGTTAAATGTTGTTTATTTCATTATCGTCAAAAAGATATTGTTTTTCCCATATTGCATTTAACTTAGAATTTTTATTATTAGTTTTTGTAAATAAGTTATATTTCATTATTTTGTGTTAAATGTATATATATTTGGATCAGTGAAAAAAATTTAAAGTTTTTATCTGCCCCCAAATTTTAATTCCTTTAAATGAAAGTTGAAATTCTATAAATTGTAATCTTTAAGAAAAAATTTTTTATCTAGACTAGATGTTTCATTCATTTTTTTCTGATATTTAGTTGTTTTACAAGACAAAATTTCAATTAGCAATTTTAAATATCAAATATTTATAAAATCCAGAGTGCTAAGCTTCTTTGTTTTGTATTAATTGCATTTTTATATATTTATATGAGTTATATGTGTTTTTTAATTCAAGTAAGAATTTAACTGTAGTTATTAAATTTAAATTATTTTATTCTTAAATTGATTGATTGATTGAATGTAGGGTTTAATGGCACAAAGTCCAAAAAAGGACATGCTGCGCCAAACAAACGGTTTTAAAATAAGGTAAATGTATAATACAAATTTTCCTCATCAAAAGTCACACGGAATTAATAAAACTAGATACAACGTGACAGAGGTATTTCAAAAGTGAGTAAAAGTAGATAAAAAGGATAAAACAGTTATATACAAGATAAAAGACCAATCGCGCGTAGAAACGCAAAAATGTTAGGATGATGGGAGTCACCTAACAAATCCTGCAGAGTTAAAATAGAACTACCAAAAAAGGTTAGTCGATGACGGTTAAAACATGGGCAGATGATTAAAATATGGTGAATAGTTAGTAAAACTTTACAGGTGTTGCATTGGGGTGGAGGTTCCCCAAATAACAAATGTAAGTGTGTCAGCCGAGTGTGGCCGATTCGGAGACGATTTAACTTTACATCTGCATGTCGCAGACTCAATACAGGATAAGGGTTAAAATCTGTTTTTATTGAGTGCAACTTGTTATAAATCTTTAGATCCCATTGTTGTTGCCAAACAGATGTGATGAACTGTCGAATATAAGTTTTTGTGTCCGAGAAAGGTATAGATAGAGTTAAGACAGAGGTAGCAGATCGTGCAGCCGAATCAGCTAAGTCGTTCCCAGGTATACCGACGTGACTCGGTATCCAACAGAGTAAAATATGAAATCTATTTTTGTGGAGGGTTATCAACAAGTGATTAATAAAACATAAAATCGGGTGAGTGTCACTGTTAAAATTTTCCAACTGCCTCAAAACACTCATACTGTCGGAGTATATGCAATATTTCCTTGTAGAGCGAGTGGAAATCAGCCGCAGTGCCAAGAGAATGGCAGCAGCTTCAGCAGTAAAGACGGAGCAAATACTTGGGATTCTGTAGCTATAGGTATCATCAGCTATAATGACGCCACAGCCCACATAACCCGCAGATTTTGATCCGTCAGTAAACACAGGTACATACTCTGAATATTGATGACGATGAGAAATGAATAGTTGCTGGAAGATAATGGGTGCAACATTAGATTTATTATACATCATAAAAGGGGAATAAAATTGATATGGTATAATGTTCCATGGAGGTATGAGAAGATGATCCACTGATTGCGATGGTGATTTGCAAATGTCAAAAGTTTGAATGAGTAAACGCATGCGAGCATGAAATGGACGGACGTGAGAAGATCTAGCTGCATATAATCTCTCCAAGCTTGATGAAATTACATAATGCTTTAGTGGATGATATCTAGAGGACATGATACGAAAGTAATAACTGAGAGATAGCTTCATGCGATGTAAATCTAATGGTATTTGATTGCAGACAACGTATAAACTTTCAACGGGAGATGTACGAAAAGCTCCCGAACAAATGCGAAGAGCTGAATGGTGTACGGTATCTAAGATACGTAGATTGGAGGCGGTTGCAGAGCCATAAACTGCACATGCATAGTCAAGGCGTGAAAGTATCAGCGCTTGATATATGCGTAGCAGGGCTAGGCGATCAGCTCCCCAAAATGTATTACACAGTACACGCAAAATGTTCAGTTTCTGTTCGCATTGTTTACGTAATAGCCTGATATGAGGTATAAAAGTTAGTTTATTGTCGAAAATGACTCCTAAAAATTTCGTGTGTGGCACGACTGGTATATTAATGTTTCGAATGGAGATGTCAGGGTCATTATGAATCGAGCGTTTACGGCAGAAATGGATACAGCAACTTTTAGATGGCGAAAGAGTGTGACCATTCTGATCACACCAGTCTAAGATCTTGTTCACAGCTAATTGCAGTTGTCGCTCGATGACTCTCATGTCGGATTCTTAAATAATAGTTGTATTATAATTGGTTATTTCTTAGTTTGTTATGTATAGAGTTACTTATGTATGTATTTTCTTTTGAATGCACACAATTTTTTTAAAATTGTATGCATTGTCTTGATTAAATTGACTGTATTGTCTTGATTAGATTTTTTCTACTTGTAAATTTGCATTAGATGTTCTACTTATAAAATGAAATATTTTGTGCCACGTCTATAGATAAAATGTATGCAATTGTAACATTTGAGGTTGGAGCTTGCGAGCTTATTCCGAAATCATGGATTCATTGACAAAAATGTTTTTGGCCACCTTCTGCAACTAAGTCAGATGTACTGTCAAAGTTCATAAAATGTCTTGTGTCCCCAACAGAGGATTGGCAGCTGCATTCAATTGTAGTTTTAGGCAGTGCAAGTGAGTTATTTTACAATTATTTTAATTAATTTAGTATTAACGAGCTTAGTATTAGAGCCACAAAAAATGACATTTCATTTGCTGCAATGAATTCAGTTTTTCTCCTTACATGATTGATTGTTCAAAATCTGTCTTAAAATTAATAAAAAGTTGCAAAGTTAATTAGCTATTATATTAAATTTAATCAGGCTATCGATTTTAACTGCTAAAAACAATTACATTGTTTTCACTATCTCAATAATTCATATTTTCTTAAAAATAATTCTTGAATTATATTTATGTTGATAACATATTTTAGTTAAATTTAATATTTAAAAGAATCATATGAAAACGATCAAAATGTCTATATGTGTAACTAATTTTATACAGAATAGTGTCTACATTTTGTCATTTTAATTTCATTATTTCAAAAGCAGTTATTAGAATTTCTTCTGCTTATTGCTTAGTTTCATATCTTAACCATTTCCTGATCATATGTGTCACCTTTGGCTTTTTGCTTACACACCCACAAATTAATGAATAAGTGAGCTAAAACAGTACTTAGGAAAACTCTTCAAAAAACGGTTTTCAATATCAGTAATGGAAATAAAAAATTATTTTATGTTTACTTTAAAATTTAGATGTTTCACTTTTGTATTTACTTTATTTTACTTTTATTCGTAATCATAAATTAAGGCATTACTTAGTTGCTTTTTTATTTACTTTACTTTAAAATTATTAATAACATTTATTATATTTTATTATTATGCTTGAATTAGTTTAACTTTTAAACATAAAGAGTTTTTACCCACAAAAAATAAAAAAATGTTGCACAATAGTTAAAACTTGCACGTACAAGCTCATTAAAATTCTTTAAATGGTAGCATATTTATTTAACTACGTTATTTCAGTATTGACTCATTAATTTTTTCTCCTACATTTTAATATTTCAAGAAGTACTTTTTTTTAAAAAAAAATTTTTCTTTTTAATAGAATCATATGAGGAAGGAAGAAGAAAAACGATCTTTCTTCGGATCCTACGGATTATGGGAGAGGCAAGAGAAAAATTAAATTTCTCGACAATGATTCTTCGGATTCTCCATCGGATGACACATCGGATGCTTCCTCCTGTACTGTGAGAATTGAATTCTAATAGTCTAACTTTTGAATGAAAGGCCACCATCTTTGGATGTGATAAATTTTCCCTCAACGTCATCTTTGACTTTCACAGGAAAAGAATATTTGCAAGGTGATTATTTATAAAATTAATAAAACTTTGAAATGCAGCTGTTCAAAGTAACCAGGGTCTTAAAAAGTATAGATAGACCTTGAATTAATTGTTCTTCCTCATTTTAATTACTTAATTTAATAGAGGTAGATTTATTACCTAATTTAATAGTGGTAGAGTTATTACTTATTTAAAAACTTTAAAAGCTTAAAATTTACAAATTATAAATAACAATCCTCGCTTGTCAATTGCTCAAAAACAGGCACCCATTTTCAAGACATGCCATATATGAATAAGAAGAAAACTTAAAGAAATAATGAGAACACTTTTTCATTCATTTTTAGTATTCTTATTTGGTTTTTAAGTAGATTTATTGATTTAGCATTATTTCTTTTCTTATATGCATGGGTAAATACATTTTAACTTGAAATATCTCTTTCACATATTTCAGTCTAAGAAGTAATATATAGTAAGTTAATATTGTCTTTTTTCAGGTTCTGAAGTTCGACATTCACAGTCATCCCTAATGACCAAAAAATCTGCTAACTCTTCTGGTAAGTTATTGAATCTGTACGGAGAATTTTTTTTCACTAAGTTTAAAGTTCAGGTAAATATATTTGTCATCATTCGCCTCTTGCTATGTGAAGCTGTTTTATATATATGTGTTGATATTTTAATTCTTAGTTTACTTTTTTTATTTATTTAGAATTAAAACTTCTGGTATGCAAATGTTTCATAATATGTATTTCTAAATGTTTCATAACATGTATTTTTTGATGGGGTTTAAAAAAATATTCAATGATTTTTAAGATAAAATATTTGGTGATTAAAAGGCATATGAAACTTAATTGTAGTTGATCTACATATTTTCTCCATTATTAAATGTTCGTTAACATTTTTATCTGATAATTGTGTTTAAAACTTTGAATTAATATTTAAATATTTGTCTTTTTCTAGATTTTCCAAGACCTCGTTCTTTTACAAGGACTGATGTTTTTAACTCATCTTGGTAAGTTCTATTTTGTGTCTTCTTAAGAATTCTTCCATAGCAAAAAGTTAGTTGCTCTAATACACAATAAAAATAATACCACATTTTATAAAATTCCTATCCTTGGCCTAAAATGAGTTAAATCAAGAAATTGGTTTGCATATCATCATGTATTAACCAAACAATTTATTAATTTTTAGATTCTCCTAGACCTCAATCATCAAGAATGTCTGATGTTCCTTTTAACCTTCCTGGTAAGTTTTACACTGGTGTGCAAAACTTAAGCAACAAGTGCGTTTTGAGTCATAACTCTACAAGAAATCATCCGATTGACATGAAATTTGAATATGATGTACATTATTTTGTACTTAAACGATGGTAAAATAATAATGGCGCAGAAATGAATATAAAGCTTAAAGTAGGGTATGGAACAAAAAAAGGCTTTATTTCACATATAGTGGCGTTACACATGATTGCCTGAAGAAGCGTAAGTACAACTGGCAGATGTTCCCTGGTATGGGATATGCCCTCCCCTTACTGTAATTGTTGCTTGACATCGTCTCTCCATGCTAAGCACCAGATTATCCAGGAGTTCTTGGGGTAAACGTCTCCATTCCTCCTTTAACGCATCTTTCAGCTGATGGGTGTTACCAGGAGGATACTGTCGTGTCGCAAGACGTCTCCCTAATGCATCCCACACATGCTCTATGGGATTTAGATCTGGAGAGTAAGCTGGCCAATCCATTCGTGTGATATCTTCACTTTCCAGTAGCTCTTGAACATTAGCAGTACGGTGTGGCCGGGCATTGTCATCCATAAAAATGAAGTCTGGTCCAATGGCCCCTCGGAACAGACGCACATGGGGTAGGATTACCTCATTGCAGTAGCGGTCTCCAGTTACAGAACCTCGGTCGAAGATCTGAAGCTCAGTCCGCCCGTTCAACATAATGCCACCCCAGACGACAACTCCAGGACCACCGTAACGATCTCTTTCCGCGATGTTATTGGGATGAAATCGAGCTCCAACCTCTCTCCAGATCAACTGACGTTGAGAATCGCTTGTAGCACTAAAACGACTCTCATCTGTGAAGAGGACGTGACTCCATTGATGAGGTGTCCAGGTTTCGTGTTCTCTGCGCCACTCTAAACGATGCCGCCGATGGCTAACTTTTGAAGGTATGCAACGTTCAGGACGTCTAGCAAATAAGCCACCTTCGCGAAGGCGTCTGGCCACTGTAAATCTTGATACTTGTCGTCCTGTGGCTGTGCACAGTTGCTGAGATATGGCGCTCGCTGACTGAAAACGGTTTCTTTTCGCCTGGAGGACAATGTAACGGTCATCTCTTGGTGTTGTTTTCCTTGGAAGGCTACCACCAACCTTCCGAACAGCTGTACCAGTAGTTTTAAAGGCATTCCAAGCACGAGAAACAACACTTTTGTTGATCCCGAACTCTTCGGCGACACTGGTCACACTACGCCCCTCCTCAAGCTTCCCAATCATTCTTCCTCGAGTAAAGTCGTCTAAATGATTTCTTGAAGACATGTTTCACAAAACAAATCACTTGCAATTGCAGCGAATGTCTTTAACTACGATGCTCTTCATCCTTTTATCACAGCTTTGACTTGCACGCGCCAACCCACAAGGTTTACGTACACTTACATCACCTACGACGCTTTATTTCTAAAATTTCCATGCAAATAATCTTTCTACTAAATTATGTGCATATTATAATGCAATTTCATGGCTATCTTATACTTTGTTGGGGAGCTGTGGTCGAAAAAACACTTGTTGCTCAAGTTTTGCACACCAGTGTATTTTGTTTATAGTCTTCCATAATGAATGTTTCAGTAATGACTTGGCAGTGCAAGAAAATTGGATGCAAAATAAAGTAATTTAAAAAAAGATGGGACCGATTGGTCATTTAATTTTAGCTGCCGCTTTTTTTTATCTCTCCATTGACTCGCTTCATTGTGAGTAGTTATTTTCAGGTTTATCTGCTTAAAATTATTTTGCTTTTAATGTACAAGTTTTTAATGAAAATTAAATCGAAATATTTCAAACGTTCCTATTAATTAGTCATTGCTCTGTATGTAATTTTTAGGTATATATATTTTTTAAACAGATTGATTGATTGTTGCACTAAATTTGCATCATACTTTTAATAACAAATGAAGACTTAATTGTATTTCTTTTCCCTAGATTCTCCAATGGATCAATCTACGAGGGTTGCTATTTATATTTCTGGCCTTGGCAGCAGTAAGTGTTGCTAGGCGACCGCAGACGATTTTAATCGAAAGTTTGATATTTTTAAACATAAATTCAGCAGACGATTTACTATTATAGCTTCGTTTGTGTTGTTGACAGTAAATTGAAAAGTTCTTCTCTTTCAAAAAATGGAATTGAATCGTGAACGTTTTCGTGCCATTATTTTTCATAACTTTCGACGTGGATTGTCAAGACAAGACTGCTTAATTCTTTATTCAGCGATAAAGCGTCATCCTACAGCACTGTAAAAAATTGGCATAACGAATTTAATCGTGGTCGATGTTCGATCCAGGACGAATCCCGTGCAGGTCGTCCAAAATCCGTTGTTGTGCCAGAAAAGATCGATACTGTGCGTGAACTGATAAAGCAAGATCGTCATGTGACGTACCGTGAGATACAGGCGTCTTTGGACATTAGTATGACTAGCATCAATAAAATATTGCATGAACATTTGAGCGTAAAAAAAATTTTTTTCGCGTTGGATCCCGCATTATCTGACAAACGCTCAAAAAAAAGGCTCGTGTCGATTGGTGCAAGGAAATGTTGGAAAAATACGTTCAAGGTACATCAAAGGCTGTGTATAACATCTACACAGGTGACGAATCATGGATCTATGCATATGAGCCGGAAACAAAACAGCAATCAACTGTATGGGTCTTCCAAGACGAGGCAAAACCAACAAAAGTTGTTCGAGGAAGAAGCACATCGAAACAAATGATTGCCTGTTTCTTCGGCATTAACGGTCATGTGGCAACAGTGGCGTTAGAGCAACGCAGGACGGTCAATTCTGAATGGTACACGACCATTTGTTTGCCAGAAGTCATCGGAGAAATTCGAAAAAAGCAGAAGAACAGGCGAATCATTCTTCATCATGACAATGCGAGCTCTCACACATCGACTCAAACAAAGGCATTTCTGACGGAGCGAAAGATCGAACTGATGGGTCATCCGCCGTACAGCCCTGATTTGGCACCCAATGACTTCTTCTTATTCCCACACATCAAAAATAAATTACGTGGACAACGATTTTCGACCCCCGAAGAAGCGGTTGATGCATTCAAAACGCATGTTTTGGAGTTACCTCAATCGGACTGGAAAAAGTGCTTTGAAAATTGGTTCAAACGCATGCAAAAGTGTATTGATCATCATGGAGAATATTTTGAAAAACAATAAAACCAATTGCGATCCTACATATTTGTTTTTTTATTATTAGGCCAGAAATATAAATAGCAACCCTCGTAATACAGTGGCTCCTATTAACTCAACTGGTGAGTTTATCAATCATTTTTCCATTGTTAACAGTGAATCATTTGAGACCTCATTAATATTGTTTTGCTTATAATAATGTAGAAATTAGAGAAAATTATGCTATTTCTTTCAACCAACTCTTAATTGAAGTCTACTTCATACTTCCATATTATTTGATAATCTATATGTCTTCAGGAAAATGTGTATATAATAAAAACTTAGCAAGCCAAGGGGAAAATGTCACATAATGTATCAAAGAGTACAAGACACATTTACAGTCTTAAGTAGCGTTTGTAAAAAGTACTTAAAAGTGCTTTTTTGGGGGGATTTCGTTTTTAAAAGCTTTTGAAGGTGCTTTTTTTTCATGGATAATTTTTTTTCCTTCAGTGATATCTGGTGGATCCCGTGCATTTCACGAAAAAATGGGGTGTTTGCTACGCAATCATTCACGCGGACTTCATGTCGTACCCACGTTATGACTTGCGCATGTGCGTACACTTGAAACCGAAGCCCGAGTGCTCCAATTCGGATGGAGAATATCAGATCCTCGTGAAATGTTTTTCGTTTTAATTTATTTTAATTTTATTCTTATTTATTTTATTTTACTTCTAACACTTTTTTGACGTAGGGGGTAAGGGTACTTTTGTTCTGAGTTCAGGGTCAAGTTGAATTCACTCGGTGATGTGGGAAAGTACTGATTGTTTCGATTTACGCCCGTTTCTTTTTGAGTTTTTTTTTTAAATGCTAAAACTGTTTATAAAAAGTTTTTATTTTTCAATAATATCATTGTTTGAATATGAATTTTTTGAGTGCTTGAAAATTTTTGTAAAGTACTTGAAAGATTTTTAAAAAGGGCTTATTTTTAATTCAAAGATTTGGCTACGCACCCTGTAAAAGAAAAACAGTTTAATTTTTAAAATATGTTATTTTTTTTTTAATAGGTGTTCTACGGTCCCTTTTGCGTGAAATTAAACTTATTAAGCACACCCAGAAGGTTCAAGGAGAAATGTTAGAACTTATTCTACAAAAGATAGATTCTCGTAATAGTATGGTTCACTATTTCCATGCACGAGTTTCTTATAACCCAAATTGCATAGAGATAAAGATAACTGCATAATCTTTTTATGCAGTTGATATTTACGATAAGCTATTTTCAAAATGAAATTTTGCTTCCTTTAAAATAAATTTTTAATAATTGTATCATTTACATGTCGCTTTTTTAAAATATTGTTATTTGTATAATTTCTTATTCGTTTCAGATACTTTTTTTCATTTTATTTCCGTACTTAATTTCTGCATATTATATTTATTGAATTCCCCATAAATTAGATGACTTAGTTTGAAAAATTGTTAAAGAATGCTTTTAAATATAATCTTTGATAATATTCATCAATATTAATTTTTTTTCTTAGTAGATCATGATATCAAGTTTATTTTGAATTGAGACACTTCATCTTGAATTTATTAGTAACCTTCGTGCATTTTTTTCAGCTACACCCTCAATACATCAAAGATTTGACCTTGTAATTCCAGTGAAATGTGACGGTGACTTTGTGAAGCTTAATTCTTTGCTGGATAATTTAAAATTGAAGGCTGAATTGGTAATTAATTTTTTAAGCTAAAAGTGAAAACTTTTATATGATCATATTTTCTCTAGCATTTAAAGTTTAAGAAAATTTTCTCCCCAATGATAAAAATTCGAGCGGAGAGTTTTTACAAAACTTCATTTAACAAATTTATAACT